AACCTAAAAGAAATCTATTTTTATACTGGAGACTTATCCAACTACCCAAAGCTAGTGAGGTCATGGACCTTAGGTGAGAACTTATTACTACCACTTTACTAATGCACCATGATTGATTCCTAACTGTATTCTAAACACTCATCCTACTACACAACAAAAGGTGTATCTACAGTCTCCTCAACATACTCCCCCATCAAAGAACAGCTCAAGAACAACATAGTATGGAAAACCACAACTTGTCAAAATACAAAGAAAAGTTGATTGTAGGATACTCAGTCACAATGTATACAGGCATAACACAACTAATGTATATAAGGCACAGGGAACATCATGCAAGAGGGAGATGAAATATTGAAAAAGTCAGAAAACTAGTAATCTGCTGAAACCATGTCTCTTGAAAAGACAAGAGAAGCTAACACCAATAAGCATGCTAAAGTAAAAGGAGAAATTTCATGGGTCCCTATCTCTAAATAAAAACTACAATGGAATGATGAGAGGAGAGAATAAATCTTCCCCAGGGATTAGCTCTTTAGCTGTTTAAAACCAAGTGAGCAGACCAGAAATCATACACATACCAACAACACAAAGCAGACTGAACATGTTGCATTTATGCACATAGTTATGCATATATTTATGTATATGTATGAACCAGTGACAATTAAAGAAAAAGAGGCCATGAATTTGAGAGAAAATGAGAGTTGAGGACATGGAAGGAGTTTGACAGACAAAAAATAAGGAGTAAACAATGTAATTTCCTTTTAAACTTTCTGTAAAAGGTAATTAAAACATTGACGTTTAACGCAGAAAATCTCAGTAAACACTGAAATACATTAAGAAAAAAGCAATGCAATATTAAATGATAAATATTAATAATTGCTTTTCTACTATCTCTTTTATTTTCTTAATAAGAGTGACATCATTGGCCAAAAGAAAAGAACATAATATAAAAATAAAAATCTCCCACCTGCCAATAACCAGGCCCTAATTGCTAGCTAATCATCTGATCCACTGACTTGTGATGTCTTTTATAAAAGAAAAATAATGCCTAACTCCTAAAGACTCCTAGGCCTTGCACTAAATTATTAGCCCAAGCAGAGATAAATGGTACTGTGAAATACTACCTAACTGGATAGTGAGTGCTTATCTCCTATGTACATAAATATGATGCCAGAAAAACAGTCAATTCTGGTCTCACAAATTCTTGAACACTTGTTCCTTGGCAGGTCGTCCTAGCACAACAAAAATTACATAATTATCTCTCCAATGAGCTATAATTATATATACAAATATAATTCAGCAAACTGAATTCAACATTACAGATGGAATATATCATAGTGAGACAAGAAAACATCATTCATAAGAGAAATAAAATTTTCTTTGTTCATAGATTGTTATCAACTAAGAAAACTTGCTGGAATCCATCAGAAGTTACTCAGTGTGTATATATACGTGTATACAACAAACATATGTATGTGTATGTATACACTAATTATATACACTAATATTTTATATTTTTCCACAGATTTACTACTAACAATCAGAAATAAAAATCCAAAATGTTTTCAATATCATCAAAATAGAACAATTAAGAAAAATCATATGTAGTGTCTGCATATTGCAGACTACCAAACTCTTCTGAGAAGGAAGATATAGAAAACGGTTCATTTGTAGAGAGTACATAGTGCTGTTACAATGTCAGTGTACTGCCCTAACCTGTAGATAACTGGGAAGTCAAATCCTCAGTGGGATTTTTTTTTTTTTTAGATTTGCTTTTAAACATCAATAAAAGTTGATTCTATGAAAATTAAATAAGTAAAAATTCCTTTACTCTGTAAAGGAATGAAAATAAGGATTGAAACCTCTGGACTTCAAGATTCACTATGAAGCAACAGCTGTAAACACAGGGCAAAGCCAGGGCAGAGCAAACTTACACAAACACAGCTAGCTGGCTTGGGCAAAACACAAGTGTTGTGCAGCACAAAATGGACAAACAAATGCTGTTTTCAACAGTACTAGAATAATTAGATAGAAAAACAAAGAAAACAATGATCAGATATTGCACGATATACATGTATCATGTATGAAGTGAGTTGAGAGTGTACACTGTACCATATACAAAGTGAATTGAGAGTATAAAACATAAATTCTATCAATGGAGATACAACGTCAGTCACCTTGGCCCAGTCAGAGTGTTAATTACATCACTGAAAGAATGGTGCACAAAGGGAAACACCCTGATTTGGACTTCATGATAGTAGATTTTCCTACTTTTCAACAAGCCTCTTAGAAGAATAATAAAAGTGAGAACTGGATAAAAATGTTTACAGATCAAGAATCAGATAAGGTATGTTTGGAGAATTTAAAGAAACTCAAATTTAGCAATAAAAATTTGTGTTTTTTAATTAGCAACATATTTTATCAAAGCAAATACAAATGTATGTAAATGTAAGTATATGAAAATAAGCACATTAACTCATACTCAGCAGGTTAGTCATTAGGGAAATGTATCCAGATTCTTCCACCTACATATAATGTAAAGAAAGGACAGAACTCTCACCTTTGGTTGTACAGTGTACACCAGTATCTTACAGAAGGAAGCACACTCACAGATAGAACAAACTATTCTACTCTAAGAATTCTAAAGAGAAATAAAAAGTATCTGCCTACATAAATTTTCATACACGAGTACTCACAACATCTTGTACTGGTCTAAAACTGAAGGGAACTGAAATATTAACAGATGCATGAACACACACCATGTTTCACATTATACAATTCAAAGTTACTACTTTACTATAACATACATGAGTGCTGATACATAGCTAAGTCTCATAATAATTATGCTGAGTAAAGGAAGCCAGGGAATAAATAGCACATAGTGCAATACTCCTTTGATATATAGTTTTAAAACTTCAAATGAACCTATAGTGACAAAAAAAAATTGAAGAGTAGTTGCCAGGCAAGGACAAAGATGGCAACAAACACACATATGCCCACACTTGCCATATTCTCATAAATACAGTTTACTGAATACAAATTGTAAGACACTAAAGATGTTACAGTGAAAATAATGTACATTTCATGTACAAAAAAAGAAGTCATGGGGAAAAGAGATTCCCTTGGATAAAGAACTAGATGCAGAAATTGGTACAAGATGGAGACTCAATTTTACAGAATTTAGGAAAACAGGAGAATCTGAAAAAAATTACCAAGGCAGCTGGGCAGTGGTGGCTCGAACCTTTAATCCTGAGCTCATTCGGAGTTCTAGGCCAGCCTGGACTACAGAGTCAGTTCCAAGACAGCTAGCGGTACACAAAAAAGTAAAAATTAATAAATAAAAAAATCACTAAGGTAAAGAAACAATTGAAATAAAATCAGACTCACAAGCAGTGAAGTGATGCCACTGGGAGGTAGCTATACAGGATGAAGAGTCCAGAAGGCAGAAGGATGCCATGGTGACTGGACAAAGCTAGGGAAAGTCTCCAGTGAGCCAGCATTTGTGATCCAGAGAAAACATGATTAAAGGTGTGAGGTTGGTACTGGGAAGGGCTGGCAAGCAGAGCTCTTTCCAGTGCCAAAACGTTCAGCTGGCAGAAAAGTCCTTGACTGGCATGCTAAAGTCTCAGGATTTACATGCACAGAAACTGACTGGCCACAAGTAGAATACAGAAAAGAAGCTATATATGATATACATTTCTTTTTGACTTCTGGAATAAAGCCAGGAAAATAAAAAGCATCATTAGCAAAGCATGAAATTATAAGAGGTAGAGGCCATGTTATTATCCTCATTACCAACAATTGATTTGAGAGGCACTGGAAGCAAGGAGAGACAGTCATAGTATAATATGTGACTACGAGAACTGTTTGATCCTTGAATGGAAGTATAGATTCAACAGTGGTAGAGAGTTTTAAGGAAAGCTAAAAGTGAATTTACTGTTTCTAAACATAATTAGGCTGTGCTGTAAATGTAAATTTTGAAGATGATCAAAACACATTGTATGATATTCACAAAGAATTAATAAATATATTTTTATTAAAAGAGGGATAACAAATAAAGATACCTAAAGGTATCTAAGGATGTGATAAAGACAAGTAAGGTAAATTATCTGAAAGGAAGCAACAAAGGCACGGAAAGAAACCGTAGCAGCCATGGTTGTGCCTATCAGACAACAGTTCTCAGTACTTCATATACATCAGGATGATTAATCCTCCTTGAGGCTGGAAGGTGGTAGGACTGTTCTGTAAATTTGACTGACGAGAGATTAGTTTACCATTGCCACCTGGCCTTGGTGAGGGTGAACTCGGAATGTAGACTTAAGTGTATCTGAACCAACGCTCAGGTCTACACTCCTATTGCCTCTCAGCATCAAAATAAAATTTAAGTCCTAATATTATTTACTCAGAGAAATGTGTATATTTTCTACCTCCAGCGAACATCAGCTGCCCAAATATATTTTATACTGAGAAACATACCTTTCTAGGGAAATCACTAAAGATAATGCTTTCAACTTAAGAGTTCCTCCAATAATAAAAATGACAGTTATGAGGCCAGATTTTAAATTAACTGCAACAGAGATTTAAAGTTGGGTAGTGAGACCAACATATAGATCGATGTGCAGCCATCCTCTCACCAAAGCAGACTCACCGTCCACTAGCCCTCCACTCCATGACATTCTTCTCAAAGAGTCCTCTGCCTTCCCATGAAAGCTGACTCCTTTCCAACTCACTTGAATTTCATGCCATGCCATGTGGAACATCCTTCACTTACTTGGTTATCATCTCTCTACCTCTTTAACTCATGAGTACAAAACACTTCTGGTTATAAAAAAGAAATCTATCCCCTGCTCAAAATCCAGAACGTTGACATGTTTACATAGAGTATTAAACAGTGAGGCCTGCTGTCCCCACACCTTAGCACCAAGAGAAGCGCCCGTAGCTCTACAAGAAAAGGTCTCCCCAAAGATCCGCCAAATGAATCAACCGCCAATCCACAAACTCACATCTTTCCGGGTCTCATTTTCCACAGCTTGAATCCTCTGGTCCATTTCCTCTTCCAGCTCACTTAGCTGAATGGCCGCCTTGTCCTGGGCTCTGAAATACAAAAAATACATTGCACACTTGGACTAAACTGTGATGAGAAACTCAAAACACCAGGCTTCGTGTTATAGAGATGCTGTTGATGATATTTCCCAATCCATGTATTATATGGATACACACTATAATACATGATACACACTATATAATACTCACTAAGGTTGTCAGTGTGACTACTTGAATGTAAAATGACATTAATCAACTAAAAGAGATTAAATATTAGGCTGAAACAAACAGTAACTAAAGTCAGAAAGTTTCTAGGAGATTGTCAGAAAAATCTGAAAATATTGTTGCCACAACTGAGTGACAAACCTAAACAAAGGAAAGAACTTTACAGTGGTAGACAATTAGTTCTAATTTTAAATTTCTATCATATAATCTTCACAGTTGTAGGCTAAAGTGGAAAGAGCACTCTCAGGAATGATTTCTAATCACTGCTTTCAGCTTACTATCCACGTCCTTCTGTATTTTATCTATGTGGTAATTTTATAAGAACTTTTGTCTAGAAGGTATAAATTGCCAGAGAGAAGAAATAAAGTGTGGCTTTGGGGGAATCTGCCCCACTCACCAAATGTACATATGTTTAATGTTTGGCAATATGTACATACATACATGTATAGGCATATGTATGTAACCATGCATGAACATTTGCAGAATTGATAAGTGTTCAGGCCCAACCAAAGTGTGTGTATGTGTGTTTGTATGTGCATGTTTGTGTGTGGGCATGTACCTATGTATCTGTGTTTCCCTGTGTGTCTATATGTGCTTAACTTCTCCCTTTCTTTCTTTTCTTTTCTCTCTGGCTCACAAAGAGTTAACTAACTCCAAGTCTCTCCTCTGGCCAGAGAGGGGACCTTCAGCCAGAGAGAAAAGAGTTCAAGTAATTCTTTTTTTCTTAATCCCGTGATGCTATCAGCAGAAGTCAAATCACCAGAAGTCACAGAACAGCAAAGAGTTAAAGAAGACAACAGAATTGCCAAAAGTAAACAGCTTTTGGCTACTAATCACTAACAGAGATTTGCCAAAGATAAAGCAGCTTTAGTCCTGATCACCAACTCCATACCCCACTTCACTGCCTTCCCTGGAGAACTGGTATCCAACATGGCCCTAGCATCTGTTTTTGTCAAGTACCTGGATAGAAATTTTTCTGAATTTTTCAGGATAGACTTATCGGTTCTGAGGAATTGACATCATAGGATGGCAATGACCTACTAACAGATTGCTGTTTGATCCTGCAATTACTACCTGACAAAACTTACCCTGTGTGGAATATTCTAGAGTGTTCTAGATTCCTAAAGTTCAGGAAGTCTACTTGCATCATAATATGATTGTGTCATTCAATCCCTTTGCCACCCGGGTCACAGAACAAGTTAAAAGACCTTATGTGTCCTTAGGAAGGAAGCGATTTGATACCTCTTCACTGCAATGGCCAAGTTTTCCATTTCTGTACTCTGAAGTTTGATCTCACGGAGAAAGTTTCTTATCACACATTCATATGGCTGGATTAGTCTTGGCTCCACAAGGTTGATGTTCTGGTACAAGGTACTAACTTGTTCTTTCCTGCCAAAAATACGAAAATTAAACGGTATCAGTTTAAAAGTATAACAGAAAATGTATAGGGATGAGAAAGACAACTAAAAAAGAAACAAGAAAGGTATAAAAATCTACAGACTGACCCAGAATGAAGAGAGCAGACAAGGCAGAGAGGCTGTTGTGTTTCCCACGTTAGAAGATGGCTACCTGGAACTCCAATGGAAGGGAAGTGGAAGCAAGTTAGAATGAAAGGTCTTCATTTTATTTGTTAAAAATTGAATTGTAAAGAACTTCAGAAAAAGGTAAACTAATTATAAAATTCTGCATTTCTCCAATCCCTAACAAGATATGTATTAATCCTTGAACTTTGAAGAATAAATATACCTATTATTTTGTGGTCAGTGAAAATTGCTCAAATTCACTTTTATGGATGCATTCATACATTTTTTTCTTCTCGGGTTTCAAACTCTAAATGGAGTTTTCTCACACCAATTAGTTTTCTATTTTCCAGGCACCAATTAGATGTTCAACATTTTCATTCAGTTAATAACTACTGAAAGTTGGCACAAACACCCAGGCTAAGGGCTCTGATACACACTGCTGCCCTACTTCAAATGCCAGGCACCCATTCAAGTGAGGCCTCCTTTTAACTAAACAGCTGTACATCAGAGGTTCCCACAAAACATCCAAGGGTTTGATAGTTTCCTAAAATGGCTCATGGAACTCAGGAAAACAATTTACTTCCTTTTAACAGCTTACCATAAAGACTGGCAAAATGGGAAGGGCATACAGGGGTGACATTAGGGGTCACAGAGTTTTCATGCCCCATTTAATTCCACTTATTCGACTTACAGTTTGATGTGTTCACAAGTTCAGAAGTTTCCCCAGCACACTGTTATAACCATAGGTCAAACTCAAGTCCAGCCCTTTGTTTCTTCCCCAGAGTCTGGATGAAACTCCAAGTTCCAGTCCTCTGATAATGCTTTACATTTGGTTTTAGTTTGTCTGGTTTGCTTTGCTTTGTTATAATCAGCCTCCATTCTGAAGCAACTTGCAGGTTAATGGTGTCATCTGTTTCATTACGATAGAAGATAAGAAACAGTTTGGCCAGCTAGTGATGTTCCAGCCATAGAAATCACCAGCTAATGTTCTACATGAATTGGGCATGTATTTTGAGTAATAAACCCCTTATGTCTTTATAGAAATATATTGTGCTGGCTAGTTTTATATCAATTAGACACAAGCTAGAGTCACTGGAAAGGAGAGGGAACCTCAGGTTCCTGAGAAAATGTCTCAGTAGAGTGAGGCTGTAGATGGGACTGCATAGCAGTTTTTAGATTGATGTGAGTAGGGCTATCCCTGGGCAGGTGGTCCTGGGTTCTACAAGAAAGCATGTTGAACAAGCCATGGAGAATAAGCCAGTAAGACCCCTCTAATGCCTCTGCATCAGCTCCTGCCTCCAGATTCCAACCCGCCTTGAGTTCTTGTCCTCACTGCTTTTGATAATAAACTGTTAAATGGAACTATGAGTGAAATAAACCCTTTCTTCCCCAAGTTGTCTTTGGTCATGATGTTTTATCACAGCAATAGTAACCCCAGCTAAAACACACGCTCTGTGTGAATTCAATAATCACTGGACTGTCTACAAGCACCAACATTTTTCTCAACAGATAGACTGAATACTATCTACTTTGACATGGTACATCAGAGACGATGCAGCCTATCCTTCTTCCTTACTCCACTAGAGAACCAGGAGTATTGTAATTTGACATGAACTGTGACTGTGACAGCACATGATAGTAGCTGGGAAGTTTTTTAAAGCCAATAACATTTATACTGACTAAAAGATACAGCAGGTATTTGAAAAATATTTAACTCCTTAGAGCAGAAATAACTTATCACAACACTAGCACAAAAGAAACGTTACCAGTTTTCATTAGAGTTAAGAATGCTAGGGATAGCTAGTACTCACAAAAGACCTCACTAAATCCTTTCATGCACACTGCATTATGGAAAAAGCAGCTGCAGCACTTGGTCATTTCTTCTACTTGGTGCTCTGACACTGATTTTATAGTTACTCCCTGTACAAGGCCAAATATCTCTTGTCTCCTGACCCTGATATGGAGAGATTACTCTTGGTGTGCATATATTACACTGGAAAAGCTCCTGGGCAGGACAAGAAATCAAGAAGCTCACAAGCCTTGCACAGCCATCGACAGTATGTATGCGCAACAATTTGATGACCACAGACCGCTCAAATACCCTGAACACAAAACTCACATTGTCTTCTCCATCCACTTTTCCCAGAATCTGTTAAGGACATATGTTTTGATGTTTGTTTTAGATGTATTATTTTATGTGTATTATTGTTTTACTTCCATGTTTATCTGTGTATCCCATGCATGTCTGAAGTGCACAGAGGTCAGAAGAAAAACCTGGGAAGCTAATGCAGGAAGATTATGAGTTTAATCAGGACCATTCTAGCTAAATTGTAGCAAATTGTTGTTGTTTAATTAAAAGGAAGAATAAGAAGTACAAAGATTGAAAGTTCAAGGGGGTGAAGGGCAGGAGGGAAGGCAGAAAGGATGGATCAGGTTACAGACTCCCTGGACAGTGCTGAGAAGGTGTTTCAGTAACCTTGCATTTTTCACAGAGTTCACTCCCTCCCTCTGGCAGGTGCAGACCATCTGCTCCTAAACCCAAGACAAGCTAGAATTATTACTTAATCAGTGTCTTGTGACTTTTACACTAGGCTAGTTTACACGGTAAGGAACTTAACCACCTCCCCAGCTTGCCCTTGAAGTCCTTTGAGAGCAAGAAGTCTTTTGTTTCTTGGATCTGGATCTGGTGGGTCTACCTTTCGCTTCAGGATATCATTGTGTTATAATTCTCCTTGTCCTTCAGATCTGAGGAGAACTGAAGGCTCTGTCCCTTCTTGACCCCATCAACACTATCCTTGAGAGCTGTGTCTTACAATAAAATTCTTATCTGAACCTGAATGCTTGTCCTCACACTGCAGGCTGAGATGCTGTAATTCTTCTCATAAACCTTATCTACAGGGTAATTCATTTCAACTTCCTTTCTACAAAGCCGCTATTATCCACAATAGGCAGGAATACAGAAAGGTAGAAAGGCAAGCAGGAAGAATTAGAATAAATGTTCTTTGTTTAAAAAAAAAAAACACAGTTGTCTGCTACTGTTCCCACACTCTGCTACTGTCCCCACCCTCTTCTATTGTCCCTGCACAGCCATAGATTGTGGTAATAGCATAAGAGCAGCAAGCCTGGCTCTCCACTGGTGTCAGAAGGGAAGCCAGACTGCATGGTCTCTGATGAATGGTGTCCCAGGAAGCAAACCTTCAGTAAAAAGAGGCTTTGGCTATGGAAGGGAAGATCACACTCACCAGATCCCAGATTAACTGCTGCACAAGTTGAGTATATCATCTATTGGGATGTTCATAACAACTACAGAATGTATGTATATTAGCTTATTTTGCAAATCAGGCAGATCTAAAAGTCTGTTATAAGATAAATCATAACTCTAATGCCCCCAAATTTATGAGTTGAAACCCTACCACTAGGATTTCAGACTTTAGCTCAGTGGGTCTCAACCTTCCTAATGCTGAAACCTTTTAATACAGTTCTTCATGTTGTGGCGATCCCCCAACCACAAAATTACTTTCGTTGCTACTTTATAACTAAACTTTTGCTACTGTCATGAATTGTAAGGTAAATATCTGTGTTTTCTGATGGTCTTGTGAAAGACTTGTTCAACCCTCAAGGGTGTCGTAAGCCACAGGTTGAGAGCCATTACTCAAGTTAATAATATTTGAGAGTCTTTAATGAAGGAATTAAGTTAAAATGAAATCAGGTGGTGAATTCTAACCCAATCTTACTAGTGGACTTATAGAAAGAGGAAATTTGGACACAGATGTATACAGAGAAAGGACCATGTGTAGACATAAAGGAAAATGGCAGCTTTAAACCCAGAACAAAAAACACCAGGATAAACAACCCCTTCTTGAAACCTGGTTCTAGAGTTTTAGATTCTACACTTAAGAGAATTTTCTGATGTTTAAACTCACTGTGGTGTTTGATACTGGAAAAGCCTGAGCAGCCCATAGGATCCAAGGACACAGAAACTGAATGGCAGAATTAAAATTCTGTTTTGTATTAGAGACATCATAATTAGCCAATAATATACTACCACTTCTCAACTATGTTAAATACCTGCACTTTGGGAGAATAAATTGGATTAAAGTTAATCCCAGAACTATGAAACACTGTATAACATGAGTTACGTATTAACTCAGCTGCTTAATCAGGAATAGTGAAAAAATATGAACACATTGCTATAAATTCTTTGTAACTTTTTCCTCTATTTAAATTACTCAATCTATTCAGAGGCTGATCATGATATTTTAAAAAACTGTTCAAGTTAAGCATTATAAATAAAGACATAATAGTAAGTCACATTGTATGATAATGTACTAAAACCTAGCATCACTCCTCCCATTATAGCTCGGGACAAATACTAGTTTCAAGAATGATCCACATTACTAGGTAATAGGAAAGCACCAACAAGAATGTCTTTTCTGAGACAATCCCAAGGAATTTCAACACACAGCAGGACCATTATGACTTTACCTGTATCATTTAGTCTAACAGGATATGAAATCTAGAGATATACTACATAGTGGGAATCTATCAGAGAAATCATTCTGTAGAGTAGTATTTTCCAGCTAACTGCACAACAATGAAACATTGAGTTGCAGAAGTCTCAATAGGTCCTTTACTTTCTGTAAACATTTAAAGTGGGAGCAAATTATAATGACACGAACTCCCTTTTTTTTTCTTTTTTTGATGTGTGCTTAGTGCAAAGTTTCAGGAATAATTTATAGTGAAATATATACATAGATTAATTATAAAAAAATCTACTGATAAAAGATATATATGCTAAACAATCAACTATTATATAAAAATGACCTGTATCCTCATTTGCCCTACTTCATATACCAGGGACTTGTT